TTCCCTTCGAGTTCGTATTCGTATTTTGCCTTGGGGCATCCAATTCCAATGAAATCAGGGCCTGATCGGGCTGAGATGCTGCGGTCTCGCTTAAACCATCAATATCCTGACTATTTTGCCCCAAATTTGAGCTGTCAAGTATATTTTGGAGGCGTTGTTTGCGGAAAAGCTCACCAGGTTGATAACGAGTGGACGCCATTTTGTTTTCCCGCTTGTTTTTGGCGGGCTAAATTGTCGAATGCCCGTATGAACCTCACCCCGGTACCCCGGGGTATAGTGTTCACATGGAAAAAATCTACCCCACTCAGGCGGGCAACCCGCCCCGAGGAGACGGGTTGCCCGGCTGAGTGGGGTACCCCACCACGCATGTGAACGCAACCAGATAAACAACAAAGAATATATGGAGACGCTGGGAACCCCACCAAGCCGGGGTACCCCAGGCACCCGGGGTACCCCACTTCCATGTGAACAGGCCCTTAATGTCTTTTGTTTTTGCCCCTTGGGATTTTTGTAGGCTAGTTCGTCGTGTGTGCGGAATGTATTTCAGCGTGTTAGTCGATTAATTTATGGTAATATATTCGTTAGTATCTAAAGGTCGTGTAAGTCTTTTCGGTTCAGTTTTTTTTCGCTTGCCATTTCCAAGCAGTCATTTTTCGCTCCATGGCAGCCAGATTTCACGTGACAGTTGGTGGCCGCTCCAGTGTAGTTTTTCCCAGCTCCTAACAAATTTTTAACCGCTTTGAACAACCGCAACTACAACATCGTTTCTTAAATAAAGCACGTTAATACATTGCTGGAGTGTTTGGAGTGTTTAGTCCACTGTTGGAAGTTATATCGTTAGAAATTTTTTCGGCAAGGTATTCAAGTCACGATGTCAGTTCTTAATGCAGGCGCCCTGTACGACAAGCTTCTTCGCCTCAAGAATTCAAGATCAGGCTTTCTCTCAACTGCGACCGTCAAGAAAAGTGAAGTCGAGGCCTTGTTGTCAGACGCGCAGAACATTGACCGCGTGAAGGTTAAATTTACGGAGTTGATGGTCCCTTTGGAGAATTTTAAAGAAGCGCACATTCTGCACTTGTCGTCCATTCAAGACGAGGCTTGCATTACCAGATGTCGGGAATCCTTCGATCGCTTGCAAGCTGCTAGCTGTGCCATAGTCTCCTCTACTAACTATGGCTGTGCTAAAGGATGACTTTGTTCAGAGAGTTCAGGACTGGATCGCTAGAGCCGAAGAAGTGCTCCAGTTGAATGTCCAGGTTAGCCCAGAAGATTCAATTGATGAGGTTGGTTTTCGGTCAGCTTCTAAGTCTTCAAGAGTGTCTAAGGGTTCTAGTCATAGTGGTTCACGCAGAAGCAGCAGTGCATCATCTCTATCGGCGGCGAGAGCAAAGGAGGCCATTTGCGTCGTGGTATTAACAGCGGAAGCAGCAGCCTTCAGTAAGCGCCAGTTTCTAGAAGAACGAAAGTTCCGTCTTAAGCAAGAAGAAAGGCGTGTTACTTTGGAAACGGAGATTGCCAAGTCGCAAGCCAGAGAACAGGCCTTAGCAACCGTAATAGACCCGAAGCCGTGTGTGGTCCCTCCTGGTCTGTTGTACTCTGGCCCGTGTTTAGCTGATTCGGATCAGGTTAACGTGAACCTAAATCCACAGTCAGTTGCCGTAAAGTCTAATCCGTGGGTAGTTGCTCCAAATTTATGCCAACATGAACAATGCTGGAGTGTTTGGAGTGTTTAGTCCACTGTTGGAAGTTATACATACCTTTGTTCGGTATCCATGGCATCCAAGCCTTGTTTTGTAAAGAGTCTGGGATGAGTTTCTTATAACATCGTCATTCTTCATGCTCGACGAGGATCCAGCGATGTTTTGCGACAAGCCAACCGCTTTCGTTAATCTATTGTTCACTCGCTCTGAACTTTCGTCTTGCTTCTTATAGTCGTCACCGCGACGGACCGATGACATACCAACTTTCCTCTGCAGAATGAACAGGGCGATGAGTCGCGTTAAACGTTCGTCTACTCGCTGAATATTTTGATCTAACTTCTCAGTCCCTTCATTGGTGAACGTGGCTTGGTCTATGTACTGGTAAGTAATGTGCAGACCGCGAGACGAGGCTCCCTGAGGGTCTGAAACATTCATATTTTTGGAAGTGACTTTGCTGGCAATAATTTCGCCAAGTGACAGGGATGAAATTATATTGAATAGCAAGAAAAACTGTATCATGGCCGAAAAATACACAGTCTGCTGAAACTTTGTCTGACTTAGGTGTAGTTCCAGATCTCTAAAATAGATATAGCTAGTGATCGTTCAGCACTTACATGCTCCAAACTATAAAGACTCAGGGAAGACCATTTTTGGAAAATATTAAGCTAAGGCTGAAGGGAGTTGATTTGAATTTCTAAGAGACAATAAAAAAATCTGGTCTTTAGCTCTGATTTCTTTTTTTTCAGTACGCGTTGATTTTTGAGGCTGATCACTTTCCTGACAACTAATGTCCCCGTTTGCATTACCGCCGTTGGGAAATTAAACTTTCTCAAATCTATTGAATAAATAAAAATCGCTATGAAATGAAAAATGCGAGACACGTGTCAGCAGTTTCACTAACGCGTGAGTTAAGAAGAAAAATATAATTGAATTAGTATAGGTAATCACATGATTTCGAGTGTAACTTAGAATAACAAAGAATAAGTAAATTTTTTCAAAGACCACAAATTGCACGAGCCCGTAAGGCGAGTGCAATTTTGTTAGCAAGTGCATATTTAATCCAAATTGCACGAGAAAAATCATGTGATTACGTACTAATAATATACGTGAAAAAATACGAGATAGATTATCATGATTATGCAGAAGCAAAGTGCGTGCATCAAGTGCAAAAATAATTTATTCAAACCCTGCAAGTGCTTTCGGTCAAAACAACCGCGTACGATCAAAACAATAATATACATTTATATTTTCACATCTTCGAGACTAAAAAAAGTATAAAGTTCGGCTAAATAGTTCAAGGAATTGTTCAGTCCGTGTCCAAATCACTTTCGATGAAATGGAATCGTCGTTTGCGAGGTTTAACCATGTTTTTTTAATTTCGGCGCAGAATCGCTCGAGTAAAGTGTTCAGCTGGGTCGGCTCGTAATTTTCGATTTGCTTGGCAATTCCCTTCCCTAAACACCTACAAGAGCAAAGAGCAGTGCTTTTTACAGTGTTTTCGTTGTTAGAGCCGTTTTTCAGCTGCTGTGTTGTTGTTGCGGTGGCGTAAGAAAACCTACTTAAAACACCAGCCATTATTTCGCTGACAAATTTTCAGCGTATCCAAATGTTGCGACATCCAAGGCTCGCACTTGATTGGCTATCTGTGAGTTTCAGTGATTATTAACCAATCAGAATGTCTGGTTTGTTACTTCTTTGTACTGAATTAACCCTCTTCTACATTGAATAACCTGAAAACTGCATTTATCTTAACCAATCAGAACTGAGTAGATTAGACTGTGCTCTGTTCTGTTGTTCTGGCGAAACACGAGACGTAGTCGAGTGTTTCTCCCTACTTCTTGACTGAATAAATATAATAAAGAACTCGTTAAATTCCCCAAGAATTACATTCAATTTTCAAAACAAAATTTATTTCCAAAGCGAACAACAGTGTCGTCAGCATGCGCTATACTCTCATAAAGCACGCTACAATAAGCCAACCAGAATCCCTGTTAGAATGGTTCAAACAATCTGACTGGCTGTACAAGATTAAAGCTGTCAAAAATTTCAAACCATCAAAGTTCGTATTCTGCAAAAGTTTACAAACTAGAATAGTTCGGCATGTCGAATTTAACACTTTAGCCTGAAGTTTTTTAGTTTCTAATACAGAATCTGAAAGTGAAATGTTCAGTGAAATTCGGCCCAATCGTGGCTCACAAAAATACGCAAGTTATTTCACATAACAAGTAGAAAACAAACCGTTCAAGGCGGGTGTTTTATGAATGAACGACAGCCGAATTCACCAGGACATGAAGATTGCTCGGAATGACAGCACTGTAAAACTCGGCTGCAGAGACTGATGTGGCCTTCCACTCAACGCATCGGAATGGTTATCGGAGGAAGCTCTTTTTTTCCACTCGAAGGGTGGTCGATTTAATTCCTGAGGCTTGCTACACTGCGATGACCGAAGATCGCCATGATGAGCTAGCCGCGACAGACCTCAGCATTATCGTAGTCGCTCTGACACCGTCATGATTAGTATGAATTTTAACAGTTATGCTTGGTTATATTTTTAATAATTCCTGTGTTTTTCTGTTTTGTTTTTGAACACGAAACTTTGTGTAATATACAAGTGCGAGCTGTGTTTGATATTTATTACTGTACGTTAACTTGTAATCTAACTGAGCGTGAAAACATTTAAAACTCGGACTGTCCATTTTGTTTCATCTTTGAGGATTTTTGTCTCTGCTCACGTTGCTGTAAGTATAGGAAATCGTATGAACGCGAGTGCATTTCGTGATTTATGGGCACGAGTGATGTTTTGAAAGTTCTTAAAATTGCACGAGCCGTAGGCGAGTGCAATTTGAAAACTTTCAAAACATCACGAGTGACCATAAATCACGAAATGCACGAGCAGGTTCGTACGATTTTTTATTTATTATATTCTCGACAAAATTACTCCATTGCGCTACTCTGCACGCCTTACGTACTACAAAAAACACTTCAATGGGTTCCAAAATGCTCACATGTTTTATTTGAACCAATCAAAAATGTAATGTTGTGACAGGTAAATCAAGCGTGAAGTACTTGAAAGTTTCTCAGAAAATATTACAAGCCGAACTCAAAAGCTAAATTTCAGTTATTAAAAGCGGCAAGAGTACTTAAGTCCGCTAAACTGTTTTCAAATGTTTGATCTCAATCGGCCTCAGAGAATAACATTCTGACTTGTAGACTTTGGTGAACTGCATTGCCCCTGAATCACGTTAAATGTGACTTGACAGTTGTGAAAGTTGTTCACAGTGAAAGCATGGCCGCTTGTTTTCACCTGTTCACACGTTGAAGTCGTTGCAGGAGAAGACCACATTGGTAGACCAGGAAAACTGCTGGAGGCTGCTGACTGTGGAGCATTGCTGATAATGTTTGAAAGCTGTCGATGTTCCTTCTCGTTACCTTCATCGTAGTCGTTAAGAGACTTTTCACTTGCGATTGCAATTTCTTCTTGCTTGTTTCCAGAGCTGTGTTCTTGACGACGCTCTTCATCATATTGTCGATGCTGTTTACGCCGAGCCGCTGCTTCTTATACCAAACATTTGTTTTGGGATTTTCGATTATGGCAAGGTATTGCTTCAGTAACTCAACAGGACATCTCTGACCACCAGTAGCGAACATTTTTGGCAGAACATTACGATGTTTTGTGTTCAGTCCTCCCTGCCTCGTCTTTGTAGGATTTTCTTTAAATGTGACGTACTCTGTGCCGCTGTCGTCCACACAAAAACTGAAGTCCTCGACTTCCATTGAATGGTGTTCCTGTCTTCCCCTCAGGCCAAAATGTTGAGTCAAGATCCACCACATCGTCTGGGAAAGAACTCTTGGACTGCAGTCGCCGAGACTTTGTTCACTCCATAGCATTTTTTCTTCTTCGGCTGTCAGTGCGTTCGCGGCGTTGGGTCTCTTGCCTTTTCCTTGTTGACGGAGACACTTCACTTTTCCTTCGAGTACCAACTTCGACTGGTGAAACTCTCGGTCTCGTATAATAGAGTACTTGTAGTCATGCTCTTTTAAATAGCGGTCGAGGGCTGCCAGCATGGATTTTAAACTCTCAGGTTCGTACTCACACCCGTCTTTTGTGCGTATTTCTATATAGAAGATTTGCAATATTTTATCGAGTTGTTCGTGCTCGTATTCTTCCATTTTTGGGTTTACTTTTCGTTGAGTCGCCCATGTTTGCAAGACATTTAACCAGGTCTGTGTAGCTTTGTGTTTTTGTTTTTCGCATTTTCTTTAAGTTGCTCAACGATGTTTTGGTTTGACAAAGCAAACCGGCTGTCAGCCATTTTTTTATAATTTGGTGTTCAAATTTGGCGCTTCCCCGGTGTTTCCATGGCAACTTCTCCGTATTGCACTCTATAACCTCTATTGCACTCTATAACCTATTTATGCATTCATCATTGACCAATCAGAAACGCGATATTTTATTGAGTATATAATAATGTAAATTACCTTTGCTCGCTTGTTCCGAAATGTCACTCTCGATTTACGAAAGAAAAGCTAGAGAGAAGTCTCGGAAAAGGTCGGACATAGTACGATTCGGCAGATGGCGTGACAGCTTTAACTCAGGTCTATGCTCTATACTTTCATAGAGCACGCTCTTTTAACCAATGACAGCACGCGTTATATCTGAACTTTATTATAAATATTATTAATGAAGTAATGATGCTTAAAAATGAAAAGAAAAATGCTTCGTCGCTCTAAATTTATCTCGTTGTCCCTGAAGTATGTTGGCGGTTGGTGATCGCCTTTTCTTTCATTGACGCTAAATTTTTACGCCACACCACGAGAATAGAAACATCAGTATATACTGTGAAAATGTCACATAACTGAGGCGACATTGACAACATCTAAAAAAATATTGAAATACAGTAGGAACCATCATAATTTCTTGGTTTTGTTTTCCTACGAAAACAAAAGGAACATTGGAAGGGGATTGACTTGCTCATGTACAGCCCACCTGTTTCTCCTTTTGTCGCTCTTAAGTCACCTACAAATAACCAAGAATGTGTTGCTCGGTTCTATAATAAGTTCCATTTCTTAGCTGCAAAATATCTCCATGACTTGAGTCCAATCCCCGATTTGATAGTCTTAACTTTAGGTGCAAAATATCTCCATGATTGAGTCCAAAACATATTCTTGGCGCTTGAATTGTACTTAAATGAGAGTAAATTAATAAGATTCCTAATTGTAATTCTTCCAGATTCCATGGAGGGTGTTTCTTTTTCATGTTTATTATTGCAGTGTTGTTTTTCGCTTTTTCGGCAAACGTGATTGCAGTGATAAAAATTTGTGTTGCTCTAAATGTTTTTAGTCTATTAGGGATGTTTATTTGAGTAATCACTTTGCGAAAAAGTTAACCTCGCATCTTTGTGCGTTCGTATTCGAACCACTAAGGAGAAGTTGCTAGCAACTCGGCTTAAGAATAACAATGAGTGAACTTTTGAACTCATACGCGGATCATGCTGGTTCGCCAAAGTTTCTTCATGGCTTAGCCGAGCCTTTCAATTCAAAGGTTTACAAAACAGGAGCAGCATGGGAGTTGATTCAAATTATACTTGAATTTACCTAAAGAAGTTTGCTTCTTGATGTTCATCAAACAAAGCAGGTGGAAGAAGGTGCAAATTTTGTTCCTTCTTTTGATTAAGTTTAGTCTCCGTATCATAATAATTTTCTCCCGTTCACAGTTTGTTTTCGTCCGAACCACGAAGGGGACCAGTTCAAAGCTCGGGTAAAGTGAAAACTTGCGCTGATCATGCTCGCTCGCCAATTTCCTTCTGCATGGTCGAAACGAGCGATTCAAGTTAATAATTGTCTAAACGGGAGTGCCATCAGAATTTGACAAACACATATAACAAACTTTTAAGTGAGTCGTTCATTGGTATTTTTGAGAGAATGTATTTGTAATAAGAATACCTTTTCCCAATTTTGTTTTCATTATGCCAAAGAAATGTTATATCAAGTTCCATTAAACAACTAACAAAAACCTACACACTTAAAGTGTAGGAGGGACTTAAAAGCGTATGATAATGGAAAATAAGACGAAAAAAAAGGCAAAAGAAAACAAACAAGCAAAAAGAGAAGTGGGAGGAGAGTCCACGCAAGTATCACTTTTCTGGCTTGTTCTTTGGGTTAATTGTAAAAATTGAAAGGTCACCGCAAAGACCGCTATGAATTTGATCCCGTTCAGCTGCATGCTGAGAACTTTTTCCGGCGATGAAGATATAGTCTCACCTGCGTCATTGCTTTGTCATTGTGGGTGGCATATCGCTTAAGGTACAGATGATCCAAGATCTTTCCACTATAAAAACCCCCTGTACTACCCTTCCACATCAAACGAACGCACCGAGCAAACTGAATCCGAAAATACCTCAACAAAGAAATGGAAACAAAACTGGCTTTGGGTGTTCTATTCTTCTTGTCACTTCTTCTGATCGAAGGAACCGAAGGTGTACTGGCCTGCACAAAAAAGGACTCTAGGCCGGTAAATACATCAGACACTTCGATTTAACTTTTTAATTATTCTGAGTTTTAGGAGCTCTTCATATTTCAAGTAGGTATGGCTGCAATTAAAATTCTTTTTTTAATTTATAGGCTTGTAATTCGAACAAGGGGCGGGAACGAAGAGTCTGCTCCATTGCTCGACGGCTCGATTGCAAACAGATCCTGCTAGATGAAGACGCACACCTGAGAGGCCAGCAAGTTGAGACTCTTTAGGAATCCCACTAATATACAACGACGCTGAAAATTAATGTAACTTGAATTTGATGTTAATGCCCGACTTTGTGAAGAAATTTTGAGCTCCATGGAAAGTATTTTGCTTTTGTTTGTTAATTAATAAAGTAAATAAATGCTGAACGAGTCTTTTATTTCGGTTGCTTCCGGTTCATACCTTTTAAGAAGGCTAACCAAACCGGTCCCTAATCCAAAATAAATGAATAAAAAGTAAAAACCAAGGAAAACTAAGAATTTGTCCATGCTTAGCTTGCGTATATCGAGTTATGGATGCACTTGGGAAGTTTGGAGAGCACGAAAAATGCGTAAGAGTAGCTCGAGGCGCAGCCGAGAGCAACTCTATCTTTTTGAGTGCTCTCCAAACTTATCTAGTTTATCCAGCTTATCGAGTGTTCTCCCAACCTCCCGCGTGTTTACATCAGGCTATGTAAACACGGAAACCATTTTACATTTCTTTTATAAAATAACTAATGAAAGAGGAACGAAAACCGGGTTTACATACGCTCATGTAAAATGGTTTTATGGCCAATCAGAGCGCGCGTACTATTTGAATTATTTTATAATTCTTATTCTATCATAGCGCGCGTGAAATTACGAATAAAATACGAATTTTTTTTCTTCGACGGACAATTATTGTGCATTTGCCGATTTGCAATATAACGGTATACGACTCGGTTCGCCAAAGTGCGTCATTATTTATAAAATGGAGAGGAAATCAATAGCAAATTTTTTAAAAATACAAAACCATGAACTATTCAAAACATATTCTTGTAAGTGAAAGTTCCCTGCTCTCGTTGCGTTACATTGGTTTGCGAGAACATTTTGCTCTTGGTTAGTCTTACTTCGAATAGCTCACTAAAAGTGTTACATTGGTGATAAAAATGCTACTCGCAGATCCTGTTATTTGAGGCAGAGTTACCACTTACTCTGTTTGAAGATATCGTCCTCCATCAGCTGCTTAGCTAAGTTGATTTACAAACAATGAGGTGATTATCAACAACAAGTAGATCAAGTTAGGTTACCATCTGTCATCCATCTTTTTAAGGTTATCGTTTTGAGTGTAATCCGTTGGTCTGAGCAAAAAAACGACTAAAAAACCGTTTAAAATTCAAATTAGCTTCGGTAGTTTGCCTTGCGTTATCAAGCTATATTTGATAACGTTATCGATTTACTACCAAGTTGTTGTTTTCATTTACTCACCGACGCGCATGAGGGTTTTTAAGAAACCGAAAACCTTTTTACTCTTGAACGCCAAAGCCAGAAAATGGATCCTCGATTTTTTAAAGGAAGTTTAAAAAGACATTTTCTGAAGATGAACGATCGAAGAGCGACCTTTAGTTTTCTACATTTGGTAAATGCTAAATCTTATCCTGTATTTGTTTCTTGTTGGATATTCCTTCGAAATCTTTCTTTCGTTGCGAGGAAAAGTTAATTCTGTCGTAGAGGACAATGTTGAGTGGCAATTGCTGACTTGAATATATTCGTTCTAATGTTCTAAGTTCAGCCAATAATTATGTTGAACTTACCTCCACTCAAAAAATGCGCGCGGCACTTCTTAGGATAAAAAATGTCAACTTCATGAGAAGGGAGAAGGGTGTGGTACAGTAGGTTGGCAGTTTGGTCTCTTGTCTGTCAAATCCAGTCATTCCTCCTTCTAAATTGTAGCTTTCCTTGTTGCTCCAGTAATTTGAGTCGTAGTGAAAAGTCCGCTGTGATAACAAAACAAAAGAAAGTAAATTCGTCACGCAAAAACAGTTTTGTAGTCGACAAATACCGTTTCAGACTCGCTCGGACACTCCTTAGGATAAAAAATGTCAACTTCACGTATTGCCATTATCGGATTTTAATATCCTTTTTCCTGTTGTTTGTTTTGATCACAGTTTTGCCGATTGATGGGTGCGATCATGGAGTTTGAACTTTTGTGCTCAGTAAAATATGATAAATTTTAATTTCCTGAGTAAAGCAACCTACATACGATAAATGAATCTAGGCGGCAGCAAACATAGTTCTTTTCTTTTACTGCGCTGTACAAAGGAACTATCTCTAAAAAAATGGCCGGCAATCTTCATGACCAGCGTCCATCCACCTCCTCTATATCGCGCTCATGCCAAGCTGGTCATGTGACAGTAAATACATACCCACAATCCGTCTGAAGCAGGTAAGCCATGAACAAACGTACGGTAACTCCTCCATTATTTAGTTATTTCCTGATATCCTGCAAACAGAGTTGGAGTCGATCTTGACAGTTGGTAAATCAAAGCGTAGTATTTGAATAGACACCTGAACGAAAGTTCATGTTTTAAATCAAACGGAACAGGCAAATAATAATTTTTTAAAAATGCTGAAGCTTGCTTTAAGACGAAAAATGCTAGCTTTAGCTGAAAGGACAACAATAATCTCTGATCTTTTAAAATAACGTTTATGAATTTCCCAAATTTTATTGGACACAACCTTCTTTAAAACTTTAAAAGAATGAAATTGCGCATTGAAAAACAATCTCATACCTTTGTTCGGGATCCATGCCATCCCAGCCTTGTTTTGTCTTTGATGAGTTTCTTAACATCGTCATTCTTCATACTCGACGAAGAAAACCATCGTTCACTTATAAACTTTCGTCTTGCTTCTTATAATTGTCACCGCGACGGACCGATGACGTACTAGCTTTCCTTGCAGAATGAACAGGGCGATGAGTCGCGTTAAACGGTAAGTAATGTGCGGACCGGGAGACGAGGCTCCCTGAGGGTCTGAAACATTCATCTTTTTGTAATTGACTTTGCTGGCAGTAATTTCGCCAATTGACAGGGATGAAATTATACTGAACAGCAAGAAAACTGTATCATGGCCGAAAAATGCACAGGCTGCTGAAGCTTTGTCTGACTTAGGTGTAGTTCCAGATCTCTTACATGGACATAGCTAGTCTTCGTTCAGCACTTATATGCTCCAAACTATAAAGACTCAGGGAAGACCATTTTTGGAAAATATTAAGCTTAAGCTGGAGGGAGTTGACTTGAATTTCTAAGAGACAGAAAAAAAAAGACAGGTTTTAAGCTCTGATTTATTATTTTTTTTCATTAAGCGTTGAAATTAAAATTTTTGAAGCTGATCACTTTCCCGACTACTTATGTCCCTGTTTGCATTACCGCCGTGAGGAAATTTAATTTTCTCAAATCTACTGAATAAATAAAAATCACGATGAAATGAAATGAAAGTTACGAGACGTGTGTCAGCAGTTTTACTAACGCGTGAGCTAAGAAAGAAAATAAATTGAATTAATGAAGTAATGATAATAAAAAACGCAAAGACAGTGAAAAGCAAATTCCTTCCTGGCTCTGAATTTATCTCGTTGTCTCTAAAGATATGTTAATGACTGGTGATCACCTTTTATTTCTTTGACGCTTCATGTCTACGCCACATCACGAGAATAGAAACATCGGTATATACTGTAAAAATGTCATTGAACTGAGGCGACATTGACAACATCTAAAAAAATATTTAAATACAGTAGGAACCACCATGATTTCTTGTTTTTATTTTCCTACGTAAAAAAAAAGGGAACATTGGAAGGAGACTAACTTGCTCATGTACATTCCACCTGTTTCCCCTGTTGTCGCTCATAAATTACCTAAAAATAACCATGGATGTGTTGCTCTATAATAAAGTTAGAGACTGATTCTGCCACACCATTTATGTATGCATCGCATGTTTTAATCGTGTTTGAAGAACCGAATCAAATTTAGCTCCCTGATTTGGGTACTTCGAATGAAATGACATGGCTAACTTGAGCGGTGTGTGGGGCCTGGAGGTGAGCCAGTGCACGAGAAAGATATAAAATGTATTTCTTTCTTTCTGTTGTGCGTTTGTGTTTGAACCACTAAGGAAAAGTTGTTACCAACTCGGCTTAAGAATAACAATGGTTTAATTTTTGAACTCATACGCGGATCATGTTGGTTCGCCAAAGTTTCTTCTGCATGGCTTAGCCGAGCCTTTCAATTCAAAGGTTTACAAAACAGGAGTGGCATGGGAGTTTGATTCAAATTACACTTGAATTTACCCAAAGACGTTTGCTTCTTGATGTTCATCAACAAAGCAGGTGGAAGAAGGAGCAAATTTTGTTCCTTCTTTTGTTTAAGTTGAGTCTTTTCTCCCGTTCACAGTTTGTTTTCGTCCGAACCACGAAGGGGATCAGTTCAAAGCTCGGGTAAAGAGAAAACTTGCGCTGATCATGCTCGTTCGACAATTTCCCTCTGCATGGTCGAAACGAGCGATTTAAGAAATAATTGTCTAAACGGAAGTGCCATGAGACTTTGACACGCACATATAAAAGACGTTTAATTTTATTAAGAAAGTCGTTAATTGGTATTTTTAGGACAAGGCAGTTGGAATAACATGCAAATTCTGATCCAGCTGAAAGAAAAACTTTTTGCAATTTTGTTTCATAATGCCAAAGTAGTGTTATATCAAGTTCCATTAAACAACTAACAAAAACCGACACACTAAAAGTGAAGGAGGGACTTAAAATCGTGTCATAATGAAAAAAAAAAAAAAAAAAAAAAAAAAGAAAAAAAAAAAAAAAAAAAAAAGGAGCTAAAAGAAAGCAAAGAAACGAAGGAGAAGCGAGAGGAGAGTCCACGCAAGTATCACTTTTCTGGTTTGCTCTTTGGGTTAATTATCAAAATTTTAATGTTATCACCAAGGCTGCTATGAATTTGATCCCGTTCAGCTGCATGCTAAGAACTTTTTACAACGACGAAGATGTAGTCTTACCAGCGTCATTGCTTTCTCATTGTGGGCGTGTCATATCACATATCGCGCAGATGATCCAAGATCTTTCCACTATAAAAAAACCCCCTGTACTACCCTTCCACATCAAACGAACGCACCGAGCAAACTGAATTCGAAAATACCTCAACAAAGAAATGGAAACAACTGGCTTTGGGTGTTCTTTTCTTCTTGTCACTTCTTCTGATCGAAGGAACCGAAGGTGTCCTGGCCTGCACAAAAAAGGGATCTGGGCCGGTAAATGCATAAGAAACTTCGATTTATCTTTTTAATCTGTACTAAAAAAAGCAGCAAGTAAAATTGGTAAAGAGAGAACTGAATTATAGCAAAAAATTACCTGGTGC